GGACCCGAGGTTTTTCAGAATGGTAAATGAGCATTGGCTTCAACTTAAAGTCATCAGCTAAATTAACCCCTAACAAGAAAGTCAGCTTATTCTTTGAAACTTTGAAGCAAGGCATTGACTTCTCCCATCTAGCTATGAAAGTTCTAGAAACCATCTTCTTCCAATAGAAGGCTGTTTCCTCTACATTAAAAATCTGTTGTTTAGTGTAGCCACTGTCATCAATGATCTTAGCTGGATCTTCTGGATAACTTGCTGTAGCTTTTACATCAGCACTTTCTCCTTCGTCTTGCTCTTTTATGTTATGGAGACAGCTTCTTTCCTTAAACCTCACGAGTTAATCTCTGCTAGCTTCAAACTTTTCTTCTCCAGCTTCCTCACCTCTCTCAGCCTTCATAGAATTAAACAGAATCAGAGCCTTGCTCTCGATTAGGCTTTGGCTTAAAGGAATGGTGTGGCTGGTTTGATCTTCTCTCCAGACCACTCACACTTTCTCCATAGCAGCAGTAAGGCTGTTTAGCTTTCTCATTCATTTGTTCACTGGAGTAGCCCTTCTAATTTCCTTCAAAAACTTTCCCTTTGCATTCACAACTTGGCTAACCGTTTGTGTAAGAGGCCTAGCTTTCAGCTTATCTTACCTTTTGATGTGCCTTCCTCACTAAACTTAATCATTTCTAGCTTTTGATTTCAAGGGAGGCCCAAAGAGCAGGAGAGAGATGGGGGAGTGGCTGGTCGGTGGACCAATCAGAACACATACAACATTTATCAGTTAAGTTCTCCATCTTATATGGGTGCAGTTCATGGTACCCCAAAACAATTACAATAGAACCATCAAAGATCACTGATCACAGATCATCATAACAGATATAATATTAATAATAATAAAAAAGTTTGAAATAGTGCAAGAATTACCAAAATGTGACATGGAGACATGTAGTGAGCCCATGCTTTTGGAAAAATGGTGTCAACAGACTTGCTCACCATAGGGTTGCCACAAACCTTCAATTTGTAAAAAACCCAGTATCTGTGAAGCACAAAAAGCCGAGCACAATAAAACGAGGTATGCCTGTATTCCATTAACACTGTGAACCTCTACTATGGAAATATCACCATGCAACAGTTCCTTCTTCTCTTGGGGAAACAGTTGGAATTAACAAACTATTCTTACATCAGTTCTCCTAAGATCTCTTGGACCCATTTTCCAACAGCAAAACAGCTCTGAAAGAAGAACGGACACTGGCAAAGAATCATCTGTGGAAGGACCTGTCATTGGGAGATGGTGCTTTGCCCTTCGTGTCCCACGTGCGATCTGAGAACTGTGGTTGTCCATCTCTGCTGACGCAATGTTACCTGAGGTGAAGACTGATGTAGGACGTTACTGAGAGCCAAGTCCTCAGAACCTTCCCTCTTTCTGAGCAAGTTATCTTATGGTGCCCCACCTGGCTATGAGTTTTAGGAAAACTTCTCTTTTCCTGCTTTAGGACCAGATATTTAGTTGCTATATCTCTCCCGCCTAGAGTGTAAATTCCATGAGAGCAGGGACTTTTCTTTTTAGGTTTGTTTTTTAGTGTATGCTCAGCACTTGAACAGTGCCTGACACATAGTGGGTACCTAACAAATGTTGATCGAGTAAAAGCCAAAGACACTGGCGGCTCAGGACACTTGTCCCTTTGCCTCAAATACTCTCTGCTCAGTTACTGCCATGGTACCACCTCCATATGCTCTTCAGGTCTCTGCTTAAACATCCCTTCCTCAGAAAAGTCTTCCCTGTGCACCTCATCTAAAGACGCAATCTCCGTTTCTTCCTTCCTCTACCTAGCTTTACTTTTCTTCATAGCATTTGTTCCTAGAAAACTTTCTATTATGTATTTATCTATATGATTATTAATTTTTTTCCAGTACCAGTGCCTAGAGCAGTGCCTGGAATATGACAAGTACTCAATAAACATTGTTAAAAGAACTTCCATGTGCAGTGTGGCCCACACCTGTAATCCTAACACTTTGGGAAGCCAAAGTGGAAGAATTGCTTGAGGCCAGGAGTTCGGGACCAGCCTGGGCAATATAGCAAGACCCCATCTCTACAAAAAATTTTAAAAATTATCTGGGCATGGTGGGACGTGCCTGTATTCCTAGCTAATTGGGAGGCTGAGGCAGGAGGATCTCTTGAGCCCAGGAGTTTGAGGCTTCAGTGAGCTATGATTGTGCCACTGTAGCACTCCAGCCTGAGCAGCAGAATGAGAACCTATCTTAAGAAAAAAGGATAAAGACATTTTTAGGATTAGACTTCTGTATCTCCTAAGCAGACAGAGAGAGAGAGAGAGAGAGAGAGAGAGAGAGAGAGAGAGTGAGAGAGGGTTATCACTCAGCTGACCAGGTGGGTGCATACTCACCCTTAATCTTGGTATACTGGCAAGTGGTGAAGACGAAGGGATGGATAGAGGCAAGAGGAAGTGGGAAGAGAGGAAGAGAGAGAGGAAGAAGGACACAAGTGCAGAGAACACAAACTCCATGGAACTTAGAACTGGATCCTCTAACATGGCTGGGGACAAGCCTCTGACTGTTTTGTCATGATGTCTTCTTCCAAGCTGCCTTTTGATTTTTTTCTTTATTAAAATAAATAATGGGGAAACATGGTTTTATAGTAACAACCAAACTTCATCATCTCCCGAAAGTGTTCCCTCTGGATTCCTATAATGCTAAATGTCCACACCACACCGTAAAGAAAAACTGCACAAAGTCGAGACAGACCTGGGTTTGAGCCCCAGCTCTGCCACGTAGCAGTGTTTGATCTTGATCACAATTTGATCCATTCATTTATCCATCTAATCATCTCATCATCAATCCAACCAATCTGCCAATCAGCCAACTATCCATCATTTTCATCCACATAAGACTTTAAAGTAGCTGAATAAGTTAATATTTCTCCCTCAGTTTCTTTATCTGTAAAAGGAGGTAATAGCTACTCTCTTATATTAGTCAGTTTATTTTTAAAAATCCCTGAGACATGCCAAACTTAGTACCTAATATTTAGTAGGATCTCAATAAATATTAGTACATTTTCCCCTCTGTTACTCTCCTGCCACAACTACCTGTGTAAAACACATCTCTCTCTCTCTCACACACGTGCACGCACACACACACACACACACAGAGTCTCATACTCTAGTCATGAACATACATATCTTATTATCCAACTTGCACATAAAATTCTCAGGGACAAGGACTACACAGAGTAGCTTCCTTATAGTCTGGAGTTGTGCACAAAGATCAGTAAGACTTTTTGGTTGGATTTGACACATATTAAGATATAACAACTCTCATTATTTCTGTGTGTGTCTCTCTCTCCCCTTTTGAGGATTTGGCCAATTAGTCCAGGTGTCCTGGGAGAATCAGCCATGGCCTTAGGATGCATGATGCATGGGAGATGGGGGAGGAGGGCATCCCAGCTCCTCTCAAGGACCCACTGACATTTCTATTCCATTGGTTCAGTGATTTTGACCAGCTCTGCTGAAGCATGAGTAATGCGCCGACCCCTCCCCATCTCCAGATCAGCCCTTGGGGACCTGCCAGTGAAGAAAAACC